TAGGTTCTCCGCGGCTAGGTACAACTAATCTATCGTATAGGTATTAGGATCTATACGCCACGTTGCGATAAATCGCATCAACACCTGTTCGTCTCGCGATACCAACCGGCGAGGAACAGGTTACCGATATATGCTAATCGATAGTCGATAGTCGATAATCGTGGGTACCCCGAAAAGGGCAACGCTGTAAAATCACTAACAGTACCGATTCCCTTGGGTATTCTTGATGACATGTCGACAGTATTACTAATGTATTCCTCGCAGGGTAAACGCAACACACGCATATGTTACACAACGACGTGATCGACTCAGTGATTCTTCGACTTTCATGACTAGTATTTAGTACCCTCATACGCAACTTTATCAAGATATCTACTGTAGCGTTTAATGCCGTTGGCGGTTGGCAAAAATGACTCAAAAATGCTTTTACTTAACGAAATATATATGATGACACATTACAGTCAGCACGATTTCAGTATAAACAGATGAGTATATTGTAAATTTCTGCTGTAAGCTCTTTACTTTTTTTGCGCAGACGTGTCACGTAGTGGGTTATTTATAATTAACCGACAGGTTCGCAAAACGCGGCGCACTATCAGTTAGCACCAGCAGTTGGTTCACACCGTCGCATACAATGCAAAGACACTACTTGCTGAAGGTGCTGCGTCAATATTCACAAGATTAAGATATCTCGGCAGATTGTATGTGGTGACATCAGTTATTCCTGTCATTATAAAATCAGCGCCCGCTCGCGACGGCCGATACTGAATGCGTATTCAATCGCCGTGTATAAGCGTGAACTATGCCAAGTTACGTTGTTCGCCTCTCGCTCGTAGTGGCCGTCGTTATTGCCTTAGCGGATTGTCAACATGCAAAATACTATGGGTATGTTGTCATTGTATCAATCAATGTATGGGTATATGTATTCGATGCGTAGATCTGGCTTCGTTTTTTAAGCATTTAATTAAATTATAATTAAACGTTTTTCTCTATGTATAGAAGCACGCGAAGATCTGCAATGCTAGAAATGTGAGGTTATGATAGAAATAGGTATTATATGTTACGCTACATGGTAAACAGACTGCGTAGAACTTTTGGGGTTACTACCGGATAACACCATTAAGCATTTTTAAAACTACATTGTCGGAAAGTTTTAGAGTCAAAGCCTTTAAATAAATTTAAATAGTGTTGGTCTCTCGTAATATTCTGTTTTATAATGAAGTTGATGTACCGGAGGCATTGTTTAGTGCGTGACGTATAGCATATGTTAGTAATTTAGCATGTCCGTGTGTAACTTGTTTGTAGCAAGGAGTAAAGTTTGATTAAGGGGGCGCATCTTCTATGAGTGTAAGAGATTCTGGGCTTCCATGCTAGTGCACGTTTAAGTCGGCGTTTGATCCAACGGTTATTTATACGAAAACGCGATTTAGTCCTAAATAATGTCATACCTTACATGCAAGCCTTAAACATTACGTTGGCAGACGATAACACTATAGAAGGTCTACGCAAGTGCGGAACGTTGCTAGAACAAAAACACTATTGTCAATTTCATAATATAAGATTTTAATTAATCAAACTTTAAACCTAATCGAACCTTAAAGGTGCGATTCCTATATCAGCTGAAAACCTGATGAAAAGATGTACATCTCAAAAGCTCGTTAATTAAATTGTCAACACCCTTAACCTATTATTTGAATTTGTTATATATATATATATATATATATTGATTTTGTTTCGCTTTTTATAGCTATCAGGTGTGGCGCATTATCCCTAAAACACCTGCTGAACTTGAATACTTGAATCGGTTGCAGTCGCGGGTGAGTGAAATGATATTGCCGGTACAGTCACTTCAGAGTTAGAGGTTTGAAGTTTATATATATTATAATAATTAAAACTACTTTACGTTACCAAGGTATTGAGACGTTATACGGGAATTTGACAAAAGTTTTAGTCTGACTTGCAAATACGCATATAGTTTTATTTTCTCTATGAGTACTTGGTACTTATTTGGTTTATAAAGATGTCTTGGGAATAAACGGAAATAAGAGATAATGTAAACAGAATAAATGTATAATAGGGCAGTTAAATAATCTAACGTATATAATGTATATTTACCAACGAATAATACTAGACAACTATTGTTTTGAACTTAAGCTGGACTTCTGGAGTGATCTCCGTGGCATTAACAAACACGTGGATATTATGCTGCCGCCTGATTGGTTAGACAGTCCACTACGCAGGATGAAGCATGAGGTCATGATTGATGACGTGCAAAGGTATTGCCTATATCTACATTAGCATCATATCGCAGGAAAGGAACTGAATGAACGGAATAAGTATTTTAAGTCGAATGATGGGTTTTTGTATTTTTGGGATAAGTAATAATACAATAATAAAAATCTGATCCTGCGAAATAGACTCATAACGTCATTAATAATAATAATAATAATAAAAATAATAATAGTAATAATAATAATAATAATGGTCATCAATGACTAGTGACTAATTCCCAGTGTCTACCTCTTCAATGTAGGCTGATAGACACGCAAGCAAAAGGCGCAGAAGCCAAGAGAAATTCTGTACAATCTGAGAACTATAACCTAACAATATACCACCGTCACAAAGAGGTGAATTTTTTAAAGAATAGACCTTACTGTCAAATACCGACTATTGTTGTAACTTTCCATGTATACAGTATACAGTATACTAAAACGCGCTAATTGGCCTATACCAGTGCTAACCAAGTAGAGGTTACATGGAAAAATAAATGGAAATAATTAAAATGTCGGAAAGAAAATAGTCTAGAACGAAAAAACGATTATCAACATCGACGTTTTATATAAGGTAACGTAACTTTTTCCACGTCTATAATAATATATTGATATATAGCTAACACACATAACAGGAACAAAGAAGACGTTAATTTTATTATCTAATAATATGAACATCTGTACAAAAATTTGCTAAGAACACGTTTGTCGCTTTCGAAAGATTGAAGACTGGATACGTTCTATGGCTGCCGAATACCCTGACATCGCTTCCATCCACAACATAGGCACGTCCCTGTTCGGGCGACCAATGAATGTTATTAAGGTAAGATAATGCAGCGTCATGGCGCTTGATTAATCACCATTTGAATTCCTACTGCGGTTGTAATTACTGGTGTTATTTATAGGTCTCCGGCATCATACCTTAGATTAAATAAAATTTTAGTTATACTGCAAATTTAGAGCAAATCTATTTTGTCGTGAAACGATTACAAAAATATAGCCTCTGTGAATCGCGCAACGCTTAAAAATATATTAAATAATGTAAAATACGTGTTGGTTCGGCTGCAGACATGCACTTGTTTAATAAACTATACGTTGTTGGTGAGGTCCGCACAATCTATAATATTTACAACTTTGAACTGTGTATTATTTATGGCGCAAGATTTGTTACTTCTTAGAAGTGAGTCTGTTACAGGGAGAGAGGAGATTGCAGTTCACTGTGGAAATTTTGTTTTGACACAATTTTAATTAACATCGAAGATTTCAAAACCAAATGGACGACGGAAGCCTATCGTATGGATGGATTCTGGAATACATGCTAGGGAATGGATATCTCCGGCCACAAACCAATACTTCATTCATCAGGTAGGTTACATACAAAGTACTGAATCTCATGATGTGAGAATTAGGGTACATGCAGTCTCATAGGCAGCTAACGATATAGGACACGAAAAAAAAACATATACATAACCGATATATTTTAATATAACAAAATCTGAATCTAACTAAATTTTTTAGTTTCCAAAATTCATATCCAGAAGGCTGTAATTTAATGGATTGTTCTGCTAACTTATTCAATGTTATAGTTTTTAATTATTTTTAATCATTATGATTTACGTAAATCGTACACTTAGGTTACTAATGGGCAGTTGTAACTTCAGTAAGAACTGCCGTGAAGTGTTTTCCGCATGTGTACGTTATTATGTATTATTTTTATTATATTCGTTAGATATAACGAGCACGGAATCAATATTTATCAGATGTCTAAGGAGGCGGTACATCTATAATACGTAAAACGTTAACTTTATACGTGTTACGCAGCTGTTGACCAAGTATGCAGAGGACTCGCAAGTTCAGAACTTTGTGGATCAGATTGAGTGGCATATCTTGCCTGTCGTCAACCCAGATGGATATGAATACTCTCACACACACGTAATTATAAAACCAACATTAAATCATTCGATCGTTTAATGTTAAACTTTTATCATGCAATCATTTGCAACGTCGCAACTGCAATATCGTGAACCTGGTTACCATCAATCTCATCACTGCGCACTGTGATATATTCGTCTCAATCAATGTTAGCGGTAGTACATGAACAAAGGGATCGCTCTATTCATGTACTCTTAATGTTACGGGAGTCCGTGCATCAAAAGATTTAGTAATTTTATTTTCATGAAAACAGAATCGGATGTGGCGGAAATCGCGTTCTGGGCCTATTGATGGCTGCTACGGTGTGGATCCCAATCGGAATTACGATTTCAAGTGGATGGGTAATTATTACAGGCGGTCATTGTTTTTGCGTATCACCGCAATTTCTCACGATTTTTTCTCGCTAATACATGTCTATATTCGGACGCACATTATTCGAGTTTCCTTTACACTAAGTGTTCATAATTAATTAAAAAGCGTTTTATAGAAGTATTAATCAAAATCTTATTGCAAACGTTTGCTTTCCGTTCTATTTCAGAGATCGGTGCCAGCAGTTCGTCCTGCATGGAGAATTTTGCTGGCCCAACACCAGAATCCGAGATCGAGACGAGGAATTTACGTGATTACGTACTGCCTCTAGCCAAAGATATGAAAGCGTTCATCACTATACACTCGTACTCGCAGCTATTTCTTACTCCATGGGGCCACACCACAGAATTACCGTCGGACAACGATGATGTGGTACTACAATTACATCATCAAAAAACCACTCCAAAAGTGGCTAATACAATAACGTATTGCCGACATTAAGTCTAGTTCTTGTCATAAAGCTTTTTCCTAACCCGTTTTAAGAAGAAATCGCAATGCATGACAATTCTGAAACCTTACATATTTATAGATAAATCTGCGAAAGATCTGTGAGCGCGAGTTAACAACAATACTCTGCGCATGCGCAAGGATGATATCTGCTGTCATTAGATTTTGCGCATCGGAATCAATTCAGTTGTACATAAACACACTCATTTGGTCACCATCGTGGTGTTACCTTTTCACTGGACTAGTAGGGGTTTCACAATCCTGATTTTATCCACAGCATGACCTTGCTGTAAAGGCTACAGACGCGTTGACATCAATGCACGAAACTGCATACACCGTAAGATCAGCAGCAAATGTTTTGTGTACGCGCACACATCAACTTACTGATATCTTGTTTTCTTCTATTTGTAGTGATTCGAATTCTTTGTATTCTTTTAGCATGGCTTAGGTGTGAAGGCAACAAATGCATTGACGGCAGTACATGGTACAGAGTACGAAGTCGGATCAGACGCTAATATCTTGTGTATGTAAACAAACCATTACGCAATGTTTCACGATATTTTGGGCACATGAACATTTTTGGTCACCCGCATTTGATTCCTTCAGATATCTTCTGTAAAAGCATAAACTCTTTCTTCAATTAAGCAGGATGTGTCTGCATGCAAGGTGGCATTAAACCAAATATATTTAATTCATGGGAAAATTGAGCCTTTTAAAATTGAATGTTATCTCACGGCCTGCTTTAGAAATTTTATCTTACTAACTGACTCTTTTCATTGGCACATACGACGTTGAGTAATTTTTACATTAATGAATATTTAATATAATCAACACTGTGCCTAGGGCTTTAGGTGCCCACCTAACCTTAAAATTGTCTGTACCTTTTATTTATGAGTAACCCTCTACTCCTAATAATGTCATTACAGATATGACTTCCGGGACATCACGCGACTGGGCTAAGGGCGTTGCGAAGGTGAAGTACACTTACACGGTGGAGTTACGTGATACCGGTGAATACGGTTTTTTGCTCCCAGAGGAGCAGATTGAACCGACGTCTGAAGAAACATGGGAAGCTATTAAAGTTATCGCAAGTCAGATCATTTCAGAGTTCGCATAGAATAGTAATTGGGGTTTGCTGAGATTGCTTGCATATATCCAATCCCATTGACGACCCTGGTCCATTTGGAGCATAGAAAATAATACTTAATGATATTGACGTACAGATAATGTGTTGATTTTGGTGCGATGGCGGGATACATATCATAGGGAGAGCTAAAGAAATAATAAATAGCACGGCGTCAATAAACTGGTGATCGCCGCTGTATTACTAGGAATTATTTCACTGAATTTGATATATTGTCAACTTTGCAACTTTGTCAGCTCTTCGTCGAAATAACTAATGTCGTATTAGTTTATTCCATTGTTAGCGATAAGAATATTTCACGCGTTTTTGTATGAAATTTCATTGTTGCCGCAATGGTTTCACAGATATCTAGGGTAGTTGACCCGTAATTGGGAATTATTAAATCAATGTTCATATCGCAGGAGTTATTCAATAATAATATTCTTGGTTTTTGGTGACAAAATAAAAATTCCTTTTGAATTTCATGTAACACAGAATGTTATCATATCCGTAGCTATGACTCCAATGTACTTTGAGAAAATCGTTGACGCAAACTCTCACCACTGAACACCTAGACGCGGTGAATCGCTAGAGTCAATAGGCCTTACCAGCTCTCCTCATTTTTAAGTACATGGAAAAGTACAACCAGATTGTTTTTTTTTCTGTCGTGCACGTGGTTTACACAATTTCAAAGTTCAAATTAAATAAATCAAAAATTAAAGTAATATAATTAAAAGTAGTTTCCAAATTGTGAGTAAAATTTATGAATATATATTAGCGTGTATAGTTTATTGATGTCGTATCCACACGATAGATGTCACTGAATATATATATTTATATATATATATATATATATATATATATATATATATATATATTACCGCTAAGTGAATCGTCTAGTCGAATATAGCCTCGGTTTACATCAATTAGTAGTTACTATTCGATATCCAGAAGACAGTAGGTTAAACAGACAGGGTGGACCCGTAATACACAAGGTTTAGTTCTCAATAATTCGCATCGCTGGATTTAAGCCGCTCAGAATAATTTGTCGCAACAGCCACGTTACATACACAGCGGAAACAACGGACAAGCTGTAACGTGAATCGAGTATCCGACAAAGACAGATATTTTTTCGTGCTACCGATGACGAATCCTCGAATTCCATAAATTTAAGCGAATTTAGCAAACTACACAATCGAAGGTGGAGACTAATAGTAATAGCAAAAATCCAGTCCGAAAGTATCAAACCGCCGCCATATTGGCGATCGTTAATCACCTACGCCGAATAGGTAGGCGTCGTCGTGAGAAATGTGAGTTGTTCCAGGATGCGTGATCGGCCGGTTGGGGCGCGCGGGGGGCCGCGCCGGGGGCGGGGCGCGGCGGCGCTGTTGCCTCACGCTGTGCGAATATCTAGCAGAATGATTCTTAATGGCTCAACGACTAAACGTTATTACCGCTAGTACTGGCGATTTTGTTGCCGGCGGCTGAAACGCCGAGAGATCGACACGTGTGCGCTGCATGGCGATGGCGATTTTGACGCCAGAAACTCGTCGCTGGAATATCAAACCTGTTTAATATTTGTTGCCGAGTCGCTGAACAATCGCCACGTGTGCGCTGCACTGGCGACGGATTCAGGCAACAGTTTTTGGATTAACTAATCAAATGCATGATTTGAAGCACGTGATCAAATATGGCAGCGCCCTTGGTGTGGGAAAAAAGCAGGAGGGTGAGCTTGTTGAAATGTGGCAGGAACGCCCGTGTCTTTTTAACATTACGAGTGACATTATATACACCCGGCTTTACGCTACAAAAACTCCACTGTAGCCCCATAGAACAACAGCGCAATCCTTATCCTCACGTACCAGATGCTCCGTGACATATGGCGTTTCCTACACATATATGCACATAACGATCTTTATCGCGCGACGTAGAACTATTTTTTATCAACTACGTATTGTTTATATAAGAACCCCGATATAAAGTTCACGTCATACTACCACAAACGCTTTTCTGTACGTTTAACTGTTTCCGTGCATGTTTGTTGTGCAGTGTAAATAGCTAATAATACCTCTATTAGCGCTTATTATAAGCTCTTAATTATTATTAGGTATTATTATGTACTATTATATATTATTTATCTTATTATTAGCTCTTAATTATTATTAGGTATTATTAAGTACTATAGATAATATTTATCTTATTATTAGGTATTATTATCTTATTATTAAGTATTATTATGTAATACTATAGGTATTAATAGGTTATATTAGGTATTATTATCTTATTATTAGGTATTAATAGTTCTTGGTAGTGTTGATGTCTTCGGACGAAATTGGGTTATTATAACTGTTCAGTCTGCACAATTATTATTTTTATGTAATTTATATTATATATATGTACTTTTTTAATTTTCGCATTCTTGATTGCTTTCATATATGTCCATGTAACATTTGTATCTATCGCATATCAGATGCGCACTTAAAACGTGCTCATGCTCATGCTCATGCTTAAGACGTTCTGCCACCAACAGTGGCGGCACCAGGATTGTAAAAGTGTGTGTGGTGGTGGGGGGGCAAGCTGAGGGCAAGGAGAAATGTTGGGTGTAGTGCGTGTGTCGTGTGTGAGTGTGTGATGGTGTGTGTGTGTGTGTTACCTATAAGTGAATGAACGGCATTTAGTATGCAAGAACTGATATAAATCCCTTGTTTAACTATTTAAAGTGCTTTATAGGAGCCACTGGATTAGCGGTTGAGGCTAGATAATATAATGTAGGTGTACATAACCTGCACAGTACCCGGCTCAGTTCTCTGTCACATGATGGTGAAAACTTGATGACATTGGATAAGCAAAGAGGCATAGTTGCCTTGCAACATTCGTAGAGACAGGCAGCGTAAACCATTTTATTGCTATTATTCCCCCGCTTTCTATTTAGAGATGTCATAGCACGCAGCCGCGCGCCCGACGTGCGCGCGGCGCTAAGGAGCGAACGTGCACATGCACACATTGCAGCTGTAGGCATCATAGGTATGGTACACGTACACATTACCAAGCTCAATATCAGTCCACTCTCCCACGCCCTCTCCTTTCCCTTCCTCTCCCCTGCCATTACCTTCTCTTTTTACATTCATTATACATTCCCTATTCCTCCTACGATATATCATTGTTTCCTTCCCGTATGCTATTATTCGTCGGTAATATATAGCGACTCCTCCATCAAAAGCAATTATAACAAGCACATCTCATTGATAATTCATGAATTAAGCTAAAAAAAAAAAAAACAAGAAGTAAGTTTCAGTATGCGAGTACTGGTACTGGGTGGACCGTTAGTGTAAGTGAGTATTGACGGCTGCATAACTTACATATCTCGGACACAGTGCCTCAGCTGTTACCATAAAACACAAACAACCGTGTTTTAAACTATTGGATAAACACCGTCTACAAGCAGCGAGAGAAATACGCAAGTCAGTTCATGCAACATATTTGAAATTCATTTGGTTGATTTGCTTATAATATTTGTTTTAATAGTCCATTTCAAGCAGGTCTATTGTCCAACGCTATCTATATGTACAGTTATTGCATATATTATATAGTAGGTATATGATATATATAGAGGAGGAGGAATAGGATATACTCACGCCAGTACATCCACGAGTAGAGCGCATAATAGTGATGAGAAGGAAGTTGGCGTAGGCATCATCGTTGAAATTAGGTGAATATCTCACCGAGATGCAAGTCAGCTATAGAGATAGTCCCGTCTCGTTGTTGCACGATATAGGAGGCACTCTCAGGGCGACGCGTTTCTCATGGTAATCCGCTGGTCCCTTTCATCTGGATGGTAACCGATTACCGTAGTACGTGCGTCGCGTGTGTGCGGCGCGTGCAGTAGTCGTGTGAATCACCTGTTGTATATATGTCTCTGTGTTCCACCCAGCTGGCGCACCACGGGGGGGTGGTGCAAAGCGCCTCCCAGTCACAGAGCCTTTGCTCCCCCATTTGCTATCCCCCCCCTCAGCTTTTCAGCTCTGTAAGCATAAGGGTTTAAGGACACAGGTTTCACGCAGTAAGCAATGGATAATATTAAACTTACTCCCAATAGGCTCAAGATGTTTCCTTCAAATCTTGCGGTATAAACCCTAGTCCTAATCATCAAATTGAATTCTTATTGAAACCTACGCCAAGCCGCCATTTCGCTAATAGGATAATCCTTTATTATACAACACTAGGCACGCTACAGTCAATGAATTAGAAGTTTGGATATGGATCAGAAGTGCTACTACAAGCGTGTATAATTCTCTGTTTAAGCTGGCAATTCAGAGGCTTTATTTGCACATCAAAAAAAAAACCAATTCTCCCCCCCCCCCGGCCCCTAGACCCCACCCATTAGTTCCTCGCGCGTCTACGAAAATTGCGGCTACGCGCGTCACGACATTTGCCCGACCCCCT